TAACGGTAGCCCTGGCTGCTGCAGACGGGCTAACGGTAGCCCTGGCTGCTGCAGACGGGCTAACGCACTTGCGTTCTAGTGAACTTAGAAACGGCCTATATTCTAGAACGCTTATCATTTGGGGGGAGCGGAACACGTCATTTAGGTCTTTTTAACAAAATAAAATCGAGGGCGACCCAGATGGATATGCAAATGAGCTGATGGCGCACGCGCAGGACGGTTTGTTCTTTTGGGACAGATCAGGTAGTGACAGTCCAGAAAAAAATCCTCTTTGGAGGAGGGAACTATGATGCATTCAAAGTGTGTGGGAAAAATAAAACTCTCAGTGAAATAGATGCAGACGGCTGAATGTCATCATGCGATTTTGTACTTGATGGCTGCAATAGAGTCATTTTAACTAAGATGCGTGAAAGAACTCGAGATAGATCGAGTATATTTGATATATATCGGCCACCCATAGCCTGCAGTACCCGATACTCGCCCATTCGGGGCGACAGTGGCGTCGGATGTAGGAGTTTGCCCTGAAATCGAAGGATTGACGGTTCAAGCCCCGGCTCCGACTTACAGGCCATATCCCATTCCTCTGAAAAGGCGGTGGTCAAGGGCCTTTTCAGAGGAATGGACCAGTATCAGGTAGGATCAGCTTCAAACTTGGAAACAAAGTCCAGAGGTTCATTTTTTAAAGTTTTTTGAGTGACTATGACCTGGATGACCGAGAATCTCCATCAGCATTCCTTGAATTCAGAACCGAAATGCAAAGTTGGGCTTTAAAGATTTAAAAAACAGGAAGTTGATGCAGGGAGTGATGCTGGCCTTCAGTGAGAAGAACCGATCTCTGGAACGTGTCAGGAGACGTTCTTCATCAGCAGGAATCCTAAAGGCCAGCTGGTTTTAGTCACGCAGTCATTCATCCGCCCCGTCTCGCTATCTTCCCGCTCTTCTTCCAGCGTGTTTGGACACATTTCTGACAGCAGACTCATTTCAGGGAGATAGAGAGAATGTGATGGTGCTGTTAGTGTTGGAGGTCCTGTTGGGGTCGGAAGAATTCCCTGCGAGGGAGGAAACCTCTCGCCTGGTACCAACATCTGCTAACCCCTCCCTTCCTTCAAACCGCCTCTTCTTTTCGCAGAGTTCATCTCCCTCCGACTCTAAGGGAGGAACACGCTGCTTCCTGGGTGGTTTCACAGCGGGAGCTTCCATTTAAAGGGAACTCCTGACCAGTCCTGTTTCAGCCTTGCCTGCAGCCATGACGTCTTTTATTACTGAATAATAGAGGAGAGTCTATGAGCGTCGATGAGCCACTGTGAGGAGAGCAAACAAACCAATATTTCCAGGCATCTGAGCGTCAGAATGTGACACCGTCATGTGACTCTAAGGAGAACCAGCAGATGTTCTGGGTGCATCTATACAAGCAATGACCAGCAGCTCCCTGTTGAGCTTTGAGGAGCTACAGCAGTGATTGTCCAGAAGTGGAACGTACAATAAAGCTTTCAAAGCATCAGAGAGAATCTTTAAAACCTCCAATGCAGCCATAGAGTTGATTCCTTCCTGCTATCATCGCAGCTCCAACCC